GCATTTTGCATGTTAAGGATGTTATTATAAACAAGGAGTTTTAGCTATTGCTTAGCTAACTCCACGCAACTGTTTCCCATGCGTACAGGAGAAGACTCCTCACAGGCACGAAACAGTAATTGCATATTCATAAGTATCTCAACACACAATTAATTGCTGAGTGGTGAAAAAGCAGTAATGAATAGAAAAGATTTCTTCTTTAACACAAAAGAAAATACATATTAAGCGCATGCTGTGCATGTTGCATCACCAACAAGTGTACTTCGCTTCACACCTGCCACCAACTCCTCATTGCAGCAGAAACCCAAAAGCTTCAGTTGCTGAATAAAAAGGAGACATAATGTGTCCTTCTCCATTTACTGCTCCTGCAATCACATTAGATGTTGAACTAACTCATAATAAGCAGAGATAAGTAGTGGAGTTTCTTTTCTTGATGTTGCCTTGAAGCACTGGCAAAGTGCACGGTAATAGGCTGCAACATTATCATATTGCTTCCCACTTCAGCATTGAAGTAACTTAGCCATAACCTAGCGAAGACAAGTCTTCTGATGGATTTGACACTTCCATTTGCACTTGCTGGGGTCTGATGCTTCCCATCATTAAATTAACTGTACTCTGTAATTGTTGTAAAATGACTGCCAGCAACAGAGCCAAGGAAGATGACTTCATTTTTGTATTGACCTTATCAAGCCATTTAATTGCCATGCGATTGTCAGGCCAGACGAGTTTCTGTTGCATCAAAAACTACACCCAAATACGTGAAAGCACAGTACCCTTTCTTCCAGTCACATCTATCAGCTTTCTGTTTTGCACGGTTAGATTTCCTTCAAAGTTTAACAATCTATGTGAATAAACCATCCAGCATCAGTATCTTGATGCTAGTTCCCAATGTCTGAATCGTTTGTGATACTTAGGATCTACTTCTGAGCACAGAGCTAGAAAACCTATTTGTATTGAATTTATATTCAATATTACTCCTAAATGAATGCATACAAGGAAAGATGTTAGCATCAAGATTTAGCACTTTTTAACCTTGAAGGTATGCCATATAATAGGTATTGATTTTATCTGTTTTATTACACAGAAAAAAAGAGTAAAATATGTCTGCTGGTGAACTGTTATACGACAGAATAAATGGTGAGCAGTGTATGTTATAAAACAGCACGGTGACACCATGTATGTTTGCTTTAAAAGCTTATTATAAAAATCAATGACAATATACATCTTGGTTAGGCTCATTTTTTCTAATTAAAGAGACAGTGTCAAAAAGAGGGTTTCCGTAGGTTCAAGCTGTAATTCTTATTTCTCTTCATCATCTGTAATATTTTCTCTCGCTGAGGAGGCCTCGCAAATAATATTCCTCTATAAAATTTTGTTCATTTCCACTCAGAAATAATTCTGGATGTGGCACTGGGGTTAATGTGCTTTTATGTCTGATCATCAGAACGTGCAATGCTTCAGATTAAATCGTCTGGTTTTCCTAAGCAGACTCTAACAGCAGAATTCGGATCACATTTAAGTCACTCCAACAGAGCCAGATTTTACACCCTGAAGGTATAAAAGCTGTTTCTCTCTCCTCTAAGAATGCAAGGAGAACCCAAGGGGAAGAACTCAGTGGAAAGCAACATAAAAGAAAGCTGGCAGGATCTCCTCTCTAAAGGGGTCCCTCCCAGCAAAAGAGAAATACCTTGGAAGAGATGCAGAGCTCTTTCCACCTCCTCTGAAAGGGCATGGAGGCAGGGTCACAGAGTTCCACAGCAGTTCTAGGACCCAGCTTTAGAGAGAGGGTTCATTTATATCCCTGCTGGTAGTTAACAGGCACGTAACTTGTATAAAAAGCTCTTCCTATACCTTAAATATCCTTGAACATTTCTATTGCTAGTGGCCCCTTTTAAGCTGATTGGTCTTCAATCAAAATGAAATATATCAAAACTATTTTGTTATTCATCCAGAAAATTCCTTTTCAGACACAATCATCTTTCTCCCCTGAATTCCACCTAATTTGTTAAGCTATTTCTGTTATCAGACTACCTGTAGATGAATGCTATATTCCAAGGCAGAAAAAGGGTCTTTGCACAGAGGGAATATTACCCCTCTGGCTCCCAGACAAAACTTCATCGGCATTTCTCGAATCTATTTTAAATTGCAAGCTTGAGCATTTGTAATGCCTCACTCATTAAAGATCTCTCAGCATAAACGTGATTATTGGCCATGCATCCTCAGCAAACGTGTATGGTACTAAATTAAGGAGGGGGTCAACAAAAAGAAAGGAGCTTCAGTTCAGAGGGGGGGATAATGAACCTGAAGATGGAGTCAACAGAAGCCTCATGAGCCTAGAAGCTGTCAAAGGTCCACGGAACTGCTATCAAGATGGATCAGTCAGCTACAAAACAGGTCTGCATGGAGAGCCGGAGGGAGCTGAAGTTGTATGTCTGGAAACCAAGAGTGGGTCTAGAGGTTCAACTACTGTAAAATTAACACAAAGAGGCAAATTCTCACTGGTGCTGGCACACAATACACCACAGGGGCCACAGCCATAAACCCAGGTGGGAAGGTTCAGAGCGGGTACTTGGGAAAGCAACATGGACACATGCTGCAAGAGAGGTTGTGAAATCTCTGTCGTAGAATCCCAGACTGGTTTGGGTTGGAAGTGATCTTAAAGCTCATCCAGTTCCAGCCCCTGCCACAGGCAGGGACACCTTCCACTAGAGCAGCTTGCTCCAAGCCCCTGTGTCCAACCTGGCCTTGAGCACTGCCAGGGATGGGGCAGCCACAGCTTCTCTGGGCACCCTGTGCCAGCGCCTCAGCACCCTCACAGGGAAGAGCTTCTGCCTAAGAACTCATCTCAGTCTCCCCTCTGTCCTAAGAGGATTTCAATACTTGGCTTGACCAGATCCCTGCTGACCTGGCTACTGTATGTGTGTGATTACCCCGCTTCAAGCAGGAGGTTAGACTCAAAACCTCCAGACCTCCCTCCCAGCCAGCACTTCAGTGATTTGAAGATCTCTTTTGCACTGTGTCCTCCGTAACTCCTTTGTTTCCATAGTGTGGACCATTAGCTTCTGCTGAGTTTTCAGGTGGCACAATACAAACTACTGCTTCTACAGAAACAAAGGTGAAGCCATGTCCAGGTCTCCTGCCTGCATTTCTAACCTGTCCCCCTCTATCCGTGTCATTTTCCATCTTCCTCATTGAAAAAGGCATTTTTAGATGTTCTCCTTTTTTACCTCCCTTCCTTTTCAATTTGTTGCTATGCAAACCACAAATGCAAAGAAATGCCTGCAGCAGAGCAGAACCTCCTCTTACAAGTAAATTCATTTCTTTAGGAAGACACAGCCTTCCTCCTGAGAAACAGCAGCCAACAGAGCTGCTATGTGAACAGACCCCTCACTGTCTTTTTAGTGTCTTTAGTTCCCTATCAGCTTCTGAAAAGAAAAGCAGATCCTGATCAGGGAACCAGAATGAAAAGCCAAATGCGGTTCTCAGACTGCCTCAAGTCCTGCTGGGACCTCAGTATCAGGCAAGAAAGGCAGGACCTTAAGAAGCCTCCCCTTTTCATCTAGTTTCCTGTGTTCCCATATTCTATAGGTAGCAGTCTGACAATACAGATAACTAGAGTGACCTGTACAGACCTCTCAGATATATTTGGATCTCTGGGGAGATCAAAATGGGAAAACAGAAAGTGCTATCTCAATTGTCCTAAGATACCTTTTATGAGAACATAAACCACAGACCATGCTTCACTTTGTGTTACTACTATTTCATGTTACTCAGGTTACCACACAGGTTACACAGAGGAAGCTCTTACAATCGATTCTTGCTAAACCATATTATACACATACATTAATACTCTTCTGAGGGTATAATGATGAAGTTTATAAAGGCAGCAAGTTAACAGACATGATTTTAAAATACCAGGTCTTCCTATAGCAGTATTTTACCTTCCTTTGAACAGAAGTGTACTCAGTGGGATACACAGAAGCATCTTCAAAAAGCATAAAAGTGTTTGCTTTATAGACATACAGAAAATCCATCTTTTTTTCCTTGGCTGAGCCTCAACTACTTGATTTCACCTTAGCTAGCACCACAGCACCAGCTCATAACCCATTTCCCCTTACTCCATCTCCTGAATCTGAATGCTCTTGAGGCAAAATTCACAAGTGTTGAGGGTTTGGAGAGTCTCAGGAATGGGAAGCGCTGTCACTAGGACTACAAGCGATGTTTCAGTGCGCACTTTGCACGTTCTGAGGGCTTGCTTCCCCCTCCTGCTCTTAAATCTTTGTTGAGAAAAGATTGTGACAAAGAATGATGAAGTGTGTGAACTGAGGGGATTGTAGTGTCCTTAAAAGAAGAAAGAGGGAAAAATGGCACAGCATTCTTTGCAATGGTTATCATCAACAGCCATCCTTTGTGCTTGAGCACTTGCTAAAGCATAAAGTAACTGCAATACATCCCATCTCTATTGATTCAGAAAAGAAAGGTAATTGATTCACCCTCAGGATTTCCTTTAAAAGACACTGGGTAAGAATTATCTCTCCTATATCATATCACAAAACACACTAAACAAAGCTACTTGAGATTTGTACACTGTCATCCATCACTGGAATCCCTGAGCTCTTTTCAAGTATAATTGAGAGTAGACAACTATATTTTTGGGGTTGTTGCAGGGTCTCTCTCCTTCTTTCAGGATAAACCCCTCCACATGCAGTACTTGGCAAAGGGTTCGCTTGGGGTGAAAGAGGTTTTGTTATTTTGCTGATTGACTTGAGGTTGAGGCTTAAAAACATACAGCAGAATCATAGAACCATAGAATAGTTGGGGTTGGAAAGGACCTTAAGATCATCCAGTTCCAACCCCCCTGACATGGGCAGGGATACCTCACACTAAACCATGTCACCCAAGGCTCTGTCCAACCTGGCCTTGAACACTGCCAGGGATGGGGCATTCACAACCTCCCTGGGCAACCCATTCCAGTGCCTCACCACCCTAACAGGAAAGAACTTCCTCCTTATATCCAATCTAAACTTACCCTGTTTAAGTTTTAACCCGTTACCCTTTGTCCTGTCACTACAGTCCCTAATGTAGAGTCCCTCCCCAGCATCCCTATAGGCTCCCTGCAGATACTGGAAGGCTGCTCTGAGGTCTCCACGCAGCCTTCTCTTCTCCAGGCTGAACAGCCCCAACTTCCTCAGCCTGTCTCCATACAGGAGGTGCTCCAGTCCCCTGAGCATCCTCGTGGCCCTTCTCTGGACTTGTTCCAACAGTTCCATGTCCTTTTTATATTGAGGACACCAGAACTGCACACAATGCTCCAGGTGAAGTCTCACAAGAGCAGAGCAGAGGGGCAGGATCACATCCTTCACCCTGCTGGTCACGCTCCTTTTGATGTAGCCCAGGATACGGTTGGTTTCTGGGCTGCAAGCACACACTGAAGCCGGCTCATGTTCATTTTCTCATCAACCAACACCCCCAAGTCCTTCTCCGCAGGGCTGCTCTGAATCTCTTCTCTGCTCAACCTGTAGCTGTGCCTGGGATTGCTCTGACCCAGGTGTAGGACCTTGCACTCGTCATAGTTAAACTTCATAAGTAAAGTGATCAAAGTAAAACTGAAGACTAAATAACATCAGGCACATACACCCTTCCACACCCCCCCATCAGGGTTTCTATTTGCAAGCTTAATTTCAGTACATTAAAACTTCTGCAGAAAGAGATGATGCCGAAGCGCTGTGGCACATCCTGTATGTGCTGAGCCCTAGGTAACACTAGACTCTCACTCAGCAAATGCAGATCCAATGTTACCATGATAATTTATACAAAGAACTTGAATTTTAAAGCTCCTGAATTCTTTTCAATGAATTTGTGTATTGTTAATGCATCTTTGCATATAAAGTTGGCCTTATTTCCAAGATGCTGTCAATTGTGCTATCATAAAGCATCAATCTCATGATAGGGATGCCTTGTTTCTAGCCGTTGGCACTTGTAACTACTTGTAAAGTCTACCAGACACATGGAAACAAAACTCCCTAATAACATAGGAAACTTTGACCTGATGGAGTGAAACTTTATCTAATATGGACACAGAATAAGGAGAAAACTGTGGTTCTAGCCGATAGCCTCCACAAATACTTTGTTCCTCATTACGGAGTGGTTGTAGTGGTAACAACCCACCAGAACTAAAGCCACTAACTCCAGACTTCAACCTAAATATAGAAACCTCAAAGTTATTGTGTGCAGGACAGCTACTGATAGCCAAGAATCTGCCTTTCATAATTAACATGCTGTTCTTCTAGATGAGTTTCTTCACTGAAATATTGTTACTTGGAATTTCTGACAAGTTAAAAGAAGAAGGGCTGAGCGCTCCGACTGGCAGATTGCCCAAATGTACTTAGAATCATTAACTGAGCTCCTGTTGTCACCTGCCCACAGGGGACCAGATGTCCTGAAACAAACGGTGCTATGAGAGGGGGGATGTGAAAGCCAGGTGAGATGCACAGAGCTACCATTGCTCGGGGGACTAAAGACTGACCTCACACCACTTCTGGAAGGTATAGTGGTACCCTACATGAGAGAGAATGGAACTGTAAAGGTGTGCATGCCACAGTCCATTAGACCCGGGGGATGTGAAAATAAAGGGAAACACTATCCCACGCTTGCCTCCACATGTAGTTAAAGCCAAGTGATGGGTAAGGAATAGCTTATGTACATCAGCTGCAAACTGGCCAGCAGGTTGAGGGGGGAGATTCTCCCCCTCTGCTGCGCTCTGGGGAGATCCCCCCTGCAGCCCTGATCCAGCTCTGGGGCAGCAGCACAAGAGGGACGTGGAGCTGTTGGAGCGAGGCTAGAGGAGGCCATGGAGATGCTGTGAGGACTGGAGCAGCTCTGCTCTGGAGCCAGGCTGAGAGAGCTGGGCTGGGTCAGCCTGGAGAAGAGAAGGCTCCTGAAGGGGAGACCTTAGGGGAGCTCCAGTGCCTAAAGGGGTCAACAAGAAGTCTGGAGAGGGGCTTTGGACAAGGGCCTGTAGGGACAGGCCAAGGGGAATGGCTTTAACCTGCCAGAGGGGAGACTGAGATGAGCTCTTAGGCAGAAGCTCTTCCCTGTGAGGGTGCTGAGGCGCTGGCACAGGATGCCCAGAGAAGCTGTGGCTGCCCCATCCCTTGCAGTGTTCAAGGCCAGGTTGGACACAGGGGCTTGGAGCAAGCTGCTCTAGTGGAAGGTGTCCCTGCCTGTGGCATGGGGTTGGAACTGGATGAGCTTTAAGGTCCCTTCCAACCCAAATCATGCTGTGAGTCTATGAAATTGCCTGTGAACACTGTCTCTTGACTTTATCACAGCAGACACTGAATATTACCTGATATTAACCATTAAATACTTCCTGCAAATACTTTCCAGTCTGTGACATGTTTGCAAGTATTTGACTGCATAAAATACTCAAGTGGACTGGTAAGAGAGAAGTCACACGGTGTATCTATTCCTTGACTCAAAAAGACAATCTCAGAGTCAGATTTCTATGGTGAACAGTCACAATTACCTGTCCAAAATGTTTCTCCTGGAAACATTTTTCAATCCTCCTACCTCAGTGCTAACTGCAGCCAGAAAGCCTACCAGCTACCTACCAGCTGGGACATTTATAGATAATAAATGGAAAAAGAAAATAAACAACTAAAGCTGTCACATCTAAATCATTTGTGCAACCTTAGAGAGTCCTGGCAACCAAACCAAACCCAGGCAGAGCAGCTGCCTTTGGAAAGCACACCTATGACTGATTTCAGCTGCTAAGCATGGACACAGGCACATTAACCTCTTTCAGGCCCCAGCAGAGGAATGATGCGTAGCTAAACAGCTTATCTAGCTCCGTGTTTGGGGGTGTGTGAGAAACTAGTGAAAAACTGTGATTAACTCAAATATGGTATCTTCAAAACACATATGCAGCAAATTCCTCCTATCTCTTTGGACCCCGCAAGAAAGCAGGAGCAAAACCCAGGTTATTTTTTGTGGAGCACTGGAACTCCTGCAAACCCTCATTAAAGGCCACAGAAAAACCATACATTTTAATGTCTCCAAGGTGCTGATGCATTCCTCTTTGTTACCTGGAAATAATAAACCTACTGTGCACATTACCTGCATGTAGGCTATCCACAGCACACTCCAGGCATGTATCTTAGGAGGTAGGGATAAAATACCTAGGGTAAACTAAGAGTTTTAAAACCACATGGAAATGCTGGCTGGAGATTGCCAGCAATTTATCTAATTCATTCTCCTGCCTTATAGATGATCCATATCATTAATGAGCAAACATATTTGCCTGTAGACCAATACCTGAAACTCCTCCTGATAGCTACAAGAGGCATGAGAACAAGCCCTAAATTTGCTAGTACAAATATAAATCTGTCTTTGGTTGAGCTTAATCATACATTGCGCAGTCTAAAGCTTGGCTCTCAACATATTCAGGCTAATCAAAAGACAGCAGAGTCAAAGCACTAATAGCTCCTCACTGCAGAGGACACCATAAGGCATCATAATTCACCTGACTTGGCACAGTGGAGAGCAGCAAGGGAGATACCGATGGCTGCCCATGTGTACTGCTGCGTGCAGCCACAGAAAACAACAGGCTGCCTGGATGAGCAACAATTTCATCTACATTTAAAAAAGGTCCACCTGGTTTGGGCTTTTTGATGGGCACAAAGGGCGGATGGACACTGTTATGAAAGAGAAACAAGAGAAGACCCTGTGTGTGCAGCAGCATCCTGCCTCTGTTACAGCAATCACATGGGGACAACACAGTTTTAAGGGCAAACTGTCACCTCTGAACAAAGGCTAGTGAACATGAAGAACACACCCTGCATGGTAAACCATCACATCTGCAAGGGCAATTTGTACATCTGACTGTGAAAAAGACTTCGAAAAACATATTACATCTTTCCTTGTGAGAATAAACCCCTTTCCCAGAATTGCTATGCCATGCCCATATTTCTGCCCAGCTATATTTTAATATTATATATATTTATATATTTTATATATTTTATGTCTATATTTTCAGTGAGCTTCCCTCACTGAAAGTCAAACTCCAAAAAACAAACTATTAATTCTATTAAGCTCCTAAAAGGGCTTCGGAGACCCTCACTGTGAATTGCAACAGGCTGTATAAGGCACAAGGCTATGCAAGTGCCCATCCCAGGTCCTTCCGAATGTCAGCGATCCCCATGTTTCCAGCTGCATTGCAAAGAAGTGCACAGTCCACAATAATTTTGAAGAGAATGCATTTTCAATTCCATAAATAATGCATAGGAAACATACATTTTCCTTGTTACCTTGTGGGAGAGCTGTGTTTGGTACACACACACGCATTAAGGCTGCAGGGCCTAAGCTTGTCACCAAGGCAGCAGACTGGGATGGATAATCAGCGCGATGTATAGAGATGAAATTCCCAACTAATTTTCTTTTTAACATTAATGAGAATTATATAGCAAGGGGCTGACTCTAAATAAGGCTCCCAAAGATGGCTTGGCTTCATCAGACTAGAAGCAGACACATGCCAGTGCTGTGCAAACACAGCCAGGAGGAAGCAAGACAAGGAAAACCTTAAAAAAGGACATTTTGTAGCAAAAATCTCTAATCATTCCCAGGCCTGACCGAAACACCATAATCCCTTACTCTGAAATATCCTACCTCCCAATGGAGCTGATGGAGGAAAGCAGCATTTGAATGCTTTGGAAGATTTTCCACTGCCACATGGAACGTAAAATCAGTGACTTTGGGGTAAAGTTGTCAGGTTTGAGACATCATGGCCAGGAGCTCTCCAACTGTTTGACAAAACAGAGATTAGTTCTCAGAGCTTTTTACCTGATTTCTTTTCCCCTTTGCAATGTCACAGTCTGTGTTGGGACATCTGGTCCCACTGAGGGAAGGTGATAGAGTCTCCTCGCATGAAGTGAGGTGGTTCAGGAAGCCTGCCAGCAAGAAGGTCTGCTCTTCAGCGTGGCTTTGGTGGGGAGTCACAAAGGGCCACGTGTCTTCCCATCCCAAACTGCATTAGGTATGAAAAATGGCTGTGTCTCACCTATTGCTTTGTGCAATTAATCACTGGCTGAACAAGATAGGGCACTAGTTGCTCTCCAGATGACACAAAAGCATGACTGTTTAACAACGTGGGACAAATAGGTCCCTTGGTTGAGTACGGCCCTCCTGTTCATAGC